TATCTTGCCTATCAGAGAACACAAACGATCAGCTATCCATTTTGTAAATACCAACTACAATTTCAATGAGTCCATCCTTGAAAATAATCTATTTCTTACATTTGTTAAAGCTTTGTCATCAGAACCATTTCATATATTCAGACCTCAAAAAGGATATTATAGCATTGGAAAAAGGGAAGAAAAGCGCAACTAGAATGACAAAAGGGTTGGAACACTTTCCCTATGAAGAAAAGTTAAGGCGCTTGGGGCTCTTTAGCTTGGAGAAATGACGACTCAGGGGTGACATGATCGAGGTTGACAAGATTATGCATGGGACGGAGCAGGTAGAGGAAGAAGTACTTTTCGCCCTTTCTCACAATACAAGAACTCTTGGGCACTCGATGAAATTGCTGAGCAGTTGGGTTAGAACAGATAAAAGGCAGTCCTTCTTCACCCAAAGAGTGATTAACACATGGAATTCACTGCCACAGGAGGTGGTGGTGGCTACAAGCATGGACGGGTTCAAGAGGGAATTGGATAAGCATATGGAGCAGAGGTCCATCCGTGGCTATTAGCCAGAAGGTATAGATAGGGACTCTCAGTCTGGGGCAAGGGGTGCTCTGTATTCTGCTGGACCTCCTGATGGCACTTGGTATTTTTGGGCACTGTGTGACAGTGTTGGACTGGATGGGCCATTGGCCTAATCCAACATTGGCTTCTCTTATGTTCTTATGTTTTTAAATTATCTAGCGGTAGATATTCGTGTGGGAAAGAACGGGCCAAATCCGCATTGTAAAAACTCATGCTGGCAAGACAGTTCACAGACAGTTTTTGCAGACAAACGGATGACATAATTTGGCAACCAAATATCATAAGTTTGGTTCAGGCCATTAATGACAGTCTGTCCTTTGTCAATTCCACATGGTAGGTTCTTCCCCTCGAATGAAAAAAGCCAAGAGAGTTTTGTGGCAAAATGTTTCTAACTCCTTTACGTAATGCTCCCATTATATAATTTCAAAAGCCTCTTAGGGTTTAAACACTTAAAGGGGGGGGACTGTCCTTTTATTTCTCTACTTGACAGAGAATTCCTCGGAGATTAAAACTGAGCCCCTGATTCAGAAGTGATACATTTTATTCCAGTCCCCCGGAATATGTTTGTTTCTAATTTTGGATGCCTCCGAATTGTGGTAATTGTGCGGTGGGTGGGTTGGAACGAGTCTGCACACGCTGAGCAGAACAAAAGCGTGACTAATTTTAAACTCCTTCAAAGCCTAATTTTCCTTCGTACGCTTGGGAAACCCCTGCCTGGATTTTAGTGAACTAAAAAAAAACCACCCCAAGACAAAACAGAGAGTGCTTAGTTTTCTGGTTTGTGACAAGCGATGGGAAAAGCTATGCCTTTATTTTAGTTTACTAACTTTTTCCGCTGTGATAGTTCAAGGTGGGTAGCTGTGTTAGTCTGTCTGTAGCAGTAGAAAAGAGCAAGAGTCCAGGAGCACCTTTAAGACTGTTAAGTCGCTCGCTTAACAAAGTAGTCGGAGAGTGATTCAGCAAGTACACAACTTTATTCTT